GATGTGGAAAGCAAATGGAAAAACTACCACATTATCACTTTTCCTGGATAGTCTCTTTCCAAAAACAGAAGATCGCATTAAGTGGAAGAACTGTTTTGGAAGAGATTGTGGACCTGTCGTCTGACAGATTACTGATGAATGAATATAGGGTTAAATATTTCAGTAAAATTATCATTCAGTTGCAAATTTTGTTTGCTGATTTCATAAATGTGAAATCTATCATATGTATCCAAGGTTCGGCCTTTCTTGCTGATATATGGAACTTCTAATGTTTTGTCTATCGTACTATAGTCATGTGTGGTGTCCAGTATATGTTGAGCAAATTTGGAGCTTTGTCCGTTACTTTTTATGTCTCGTATGTGTTCTTTGAATCTGACCTTAAAGGTATGTCCAGTCTGTCCTATATATTTTAATGGACAGTCAAAACATTGTAGTTGGTAAACCCCACTAAGATTATACATATCATTTTTGTCATCATTTATTTTCAACAGATGTTTTATATTTTTTTGTCTTATATGAGATAGGGAATATTGAGGTTGGTATCTCATATAAGACAAAAAACAATATAAAACATCTGTTAACATATATGTTAAACATGTATTTGCCTGATGATGGCTATTGATAGCCGAAACATGTAGCAGAACCGTAGCTGGGCACTGACATTGATATATATCAATGTCAGTGCCCAGCTACGGTTCTGCACAACAAATATATTTGTTGTGTTGTGATGGTTAATAAAGAAGTTGTAGTTTCAATTCATAAAATGATATAAATTCAAGGTAAATACATTATTTTTCCATTCAGTTTACAGCTCAACACTGAATTATTTAAATATTCTGGATAATTAAAATCAAAGTATTATTTAAAAGAGATTCATGCCACAGAAAATTCTTGCTATAGATTTGCTGCAAATGCCAATATCCTAACTGATAAGCTCACAAACCGTAACACCATTTCATTTTTTTGTTTATCTTATTACATATTCTAAGAGTCTTTATCATTCCCACTTCTACGTATGCTTAACTAGTTACCAAACAGAATATTTCCATATTTCAGGGGTCTTCCTCAGCATGTTTATCTGGTGTTTTAAAAATTGATCAGGTCTCACATTAAAACTCAGCATTCAACATGTTTTTCTATCTTTTGTTTAATGTTCTACAGAATCCACTACTGCTGACATTCATGGTTCTTTCAAGGAGATATAACTACAGTCTGGACATTGTTATACTTCCATCTAAAATATCAACATAATGGCATGTGTATCGGGGCTTGTGACTACAGATGGGGTATGGATTGGATATTGGATTTATTGACCACTTACAGATCATACTACAAACAACTACAACGTTATCGCTATTTCCACACTTTACAATTCGCTGTTACACACACTAGTGTGCTTTCAACATCCAGAATATATACAATTATATAACAAAACTGTACAGGCAACAAGCAGAAATCATACAAAATCATGAGAATGAACATGTTCACAGTATAGGACAAGCAAAGCAAGACATAGGACATATAAGAGCCTTATACTTGGTGGTCAAGCTTACAACTGTTCAAGTGACTAAGCTGCCAGTGTAGCATAAGATACGTAAGATAGGCATGATCTGCTTTGCAAAGCCTGTATTGACAAAGGACTAGTATATAGTGCAAAATGAAGAATTTTCAATAACATGCTATTTGTGCGATATGTATACTTGATGAAAGGTCAAGCATATTCTTAAGAGACAAACTCATCCTCGTCAGAGACAATGTTACATAAGGGCTATGGCTGCAAGGGTTCATTTGGGGAAAATAAATCTCTGATCATGAGTCATAATGGGCGGTAAACCGCCAGTTGTAAAAGAACTCTGGCTTTTGAATGAGTTCAACTGTGAAGTGTTAGCCAGGGGGCAATGGCATGACCACAGAAGCTGAAGGATCTCCATTGTTAAGATCTGTTACCAGGAAATGACTAGTGAAAGCAAACTGAGAAGACTTAGAATGTGCTCTAGTGGCCTGTAAAGTGTGCAGATCAGCTATAGCACTGTAAGTAGTTCTACATCGTGTGTATAAGTGGACAATAGAAACCAATCCAACCCCCAACTATAGTCACCGCTAAACCGTGATAATACATAATAAGTCCTTATACTGATACATCTTGTCAAAAAAAGGTAAAATGCTGCTAGATATAATATACAAACATAAAACAGAGCATCAGAAGACAAAAGTAACTGTGTATTCAGTCACCACAAAAGCCTGAAATAGAGATGAATTGTTGTTTCTCTTGTAGGCATTTGTTATTGCATACACCAGTGATTTCATACCCCGAATGGTCTATAAATATGTGTACTCTCCAACAGAGACCCTGGCAGGGTACATTGACTCATCACTCTCAGGTAAATATGGCCTGTCTACTTATTTTACTGGTAGGTTATTTGAAGATGCTGTCAGCAGCTCAGACTATACAGTGTCAAATAACTGGATGATGGTGAATAATGACTTGGAAAAGATATGGAATGAAAAAGTCACTGCCAAATTTAACTCTTTCAAGTGTGATTTAAAAAAACTCATCAAATTGTAAGCCCTGAACAGATATAGAAATTTGTTTCTAAAGATGTAAAGGTGTACCAGCTGAGTACATGCACTTATGGGAAACACAGATCCTACAATAGGTTTCCATGGGACACATCCCAAAGGACTTCAAAGGTTTAAGGTTTTATTACAGAAACTGTTTGGGGGAACTGAAAAATATCATGAGGACATCATCGAAGACAGTAGAAGTAACTTCCCACGGCAGCGGCCCGGGTTCGATCCCGGGTCTTGTCAAGTGGGATTTGTGGTGGACAAAGTGGTGCTGGGGCAGGTTTTCTCTGAGTACTTCCGTTTCTCCTGCCAATCTTCATTCCACCAATTGCTCCACAATCACTCTCACCTATCATCTGGGGCTGGTACAATAGGCCAGAAGTGGCCACAGTACAAGGGATTTAGTCCCACCCCACAAGCAATAAAAAAAAAAACAGCCAAGATTCAAACTGGGCAACTGCCAAATACAAGTCACAAACATTACTACTTAAGACAACTTGCTTGATCACAGTCTCATTAAATTTCAGCAAAATGAACTCAAGAAATCCATTCCACTTCTAGTTCAAAATTTTTAATAATTTTGTGTTTTCAAAACCCAAAAACCAAAATATGTAAGATAATAATTTTAGCTATTTTATAAGTGTATGAAACTTGGTCACCTATTCTGAGGGCAAACAAAGATTGTGGGTGCATGAGAACAATAGCCAAGGAAAACATTAGGGCCTAACAGTGAAATGGAAAACAGATATAAGAAACTTCATAATGTGTACTTTTTACCTGGTATAATTTGGTGAGAAAATCGAGAAAAATGGGATTGGGGGCACATGTAGTACACATGAAGAAAACAAGAAATGCAACTGTTTAAGGAATATCCTTGTACTCGTACCAGGAAGACACTCTGTATGACAAAGCTGTATGAACAGAAGACAGCAGTCAACACAAAATATAGGTAGTCAGGATGATTTCCTGGTACAGTAGAAAATGTCTTAACAGAGGTCATGCACATCTCCATCAAGTGACCCACATCAACTACCAATTAGAAAGTAGTGTATAATCAGAAAGAAACAACCATGAACACAAAGTAATAGAATGAACAAAACATTAAACTCCTTAGTAATTACAAGTTAAGCACTGATTAGGCTACTTGCAAATGATAATATTATGTTAGGTTACTGTTTCTTAATCATCTTCACATGAGGTGGGCTGAACGTTTTCAATGTCATATGAAGAGGTGGGGTACATACACGCTGTTCACTACTTTCAGTTAATTATGCTAATGCACTTGTTTTTATAACATTACTACTGTGCTGCAGAATTCAATACATCTGACTATCGCCAAGACATGGGAGCAGATACAGAAGAAGACCCCCCAACTTGCCAGTACAGAGGTTATCGCAATCCTCCAATACATGAAAAGAAATATGATTTGTCTCCACAGTACTGGCACGTGTTTGCAGCCCGGCTAGCCTTTGTTGTAGTGTTTGAGGTAATGTCAAGAGCAAGTGGTCCCTCTGGATTCACACTACTCTAATTCCTTCTATTAATTCTTTAGTATAAATCACTTAAGACTTCATATTGAAAAAAAAAACTGCACGCCATTTCTTTTTTATTTTCAAATCTAAAGATAAAATAATTCCTGCTGCTGCTCTGTAATTTTCAGGTATGTAACTTCTATATTTCTTCTTACTACCAGTAGCATACTCTGCTGGCCTATCTTGAGGCAGTAACTGAATGTAGAAATCCAAAATGATACACATGTCAGGTACAGATCAGAGTAATTGGCATCAGCACTTAACACATGTTTACTATAAATATAATTGACATTGGCACTGTATGTCATTTGTATCTTTGTAGTTAATGAATAAGCAGCCTCCGTCCATAGTCTAGAGGTAACGTTCCCACCTCATGACTCGTAGTATGCGGGTTCAAAAACCTGGCGGAGGTCGTCGAATTTTTAAGGGCGGAAAAATTCAGGGAACAAGTCCTCCGGGAGGGACTTTAAGCCGTGTGTCCCGTGTCGTAGCTTTACGGCACGTAAAAGAACCTCATATCTCCAAAGGAGGTCACTGAGCCAAATTCAAGGACGTTTCCCGCCCAACAAGTAGTCTCTAACACCTCTGATAGATGGTGGAAGCATTATAGATACCGCCAAGCTAGTGGAGGCCGAACTCGCTGGCTCGGTCGGGACTGATGGTACACACCAATATCGGTAGGGTATAGAGACTGGCAGAATATCATAGAGGGAAGCACAATGGACCAATACTGGTCTAAGTGCATGGGGAAACCCACCCTCTCCAATAACTAACTAACTAGTTAATGAATAGATTGAAAAGGGTTTGGAAGAAAGCAGTGTTGGCCTAAATTAAGGTCCTTCCTGTTATTTTCATGCAGGGAATGATGAAAACCACAAGAAACCTCAGCTGGGATAGCTGGTGTCCTGTCTGAGATTCAAAATGGACACCTCCCAAATACAAGACAGAGGCATTACTGTTTGGGCAAATATGCTCAGTTTTGGCACTATATGGTCAAATAATTATAATTACAAAGTGCTCCTTTGATGGTTCACAGCCTCAGTAGTTGACACTGTGTCATACAATACAATAACTCATGGAATTAATGGGCTTTTGCACTTTCTCCATCGTCTGGTATTCTAGAAAATATAAAACATGACATTTTGGAAACTGGATCTGTTTCCATCCTCAGGTGAAATGGGGGAAGACACCTACTCAGTGGGACCCTTAGAAAGAGCTAATCTCAGTCTAGCAGGCCAAACTGCATAGATGTCTTCCCCTTTTCACCTGAGGATGGAAACAGATCCAGATTCCGAAACGTGGTGTTTTTTCTTTTTTCTGGAATACCAGACGATGGAAAAAGTACAAAATCCCAGTAGTTCTGTGCATTATACACCATCATCAGAACCCTTTAGTATTTAATACAATAACTGTATAAACAAACTTCAGTAGCTGGATGACCAGGATGTGATTCACACACCACCACCAGAATGGCTGCAGGGACCATACAGTTTGGTTATGATGAATATGTAATACACGATTCTGTGATATGTTGCATGCTGCACTGTAAACATATGCTTCAGATGCTTTACACATCTTCTAGCTCAAAGAAATAGAAACACACTGCTAACTTCAATGTTTCAAGCTTCTCAGAAACAATTACGTTGCTTTTATGATACCACATGATACATTAAATATGTCTACCAGACTTGTTTAAGGTATAACTGACCATCTCTGGGCTATTTTTACAAATTACCAGAAACATGTCAAAGGTTTACAATATTATTTATTCATAACGTCTTACTATTATATGCTGTATTTTAAATGATCGTTTCTGAACATAAATGAAAGAGTACATATTAATATATGTCCTGAGGGCCTTCCTTAAAATGTTGCAGCTATATAATTTAAACTTCCATGGTCACACCTTAAATATTTCCTAAATTTAACAGGTTGTGTATAAGAAGAAAAGAAATAAGAGAGCCATTATTGACTTTTATTTTTATTTTCCAAAAAGAAGTTCTCAAAATGGCCTCCATGTTCACATACACATAACTCAGCTCTCATGAAAAAAAGAACCTTACAAGGAGATAAAAACTGAAAACATATTCATTTTACTTGCAAATTGTTGAATATGAAATTATAGTTCCTCTTTAATATCGACTTCACCGGCATAGTCCTTGGCCATTGAGTGTGCAAGTAAGGAAATTGGAACTTCAGGTCCCCAACCAATCCAACACCCAGGATAATTTTTGGACAGCCACTGATGCACTTCATGACTGCAATGTGGTGGAGCAATGTCATGCTGAAACCACATGTGCAGATACGTATTCAAGGATACATCTTCCAATAGCCCTCCTAAGTGTGTTCAAAGAAAATTATGGTAATCACAGCCACTAACTTGTGCCAGTAAAATGTGAGGGCCTATGAATAAGACAGTCACCTAAAATTCCAGGCTACAGGTTGACAGAACACTTGCTGCTGATGGTGAGATTGATCACATGAGGAGTTTCATCTGACCAGCTATGTTCCTTGTCATTAATGGTGGCCTCAGTCCTAGTGAAGCATAAAACCTTGGCTGTAATCGCAGGGTCTTCAGCTAACAACTATAAAATCCAGTGACAGAATTCATGTCTTGTAGATGCCCTGTTTGCTACTAACACTTGCACAGACTGAATGTCATAGGGACACAACTACTGCTCTTGTAATGCACAGTGTACAGAAGCATGGGAGGTATCAATACAAGCTGCAAGATGTCTGGTACTGATGGTAGGCTGTCCTTCAACGACCTTGAGGATCTGCTTTTTCATCTATACATTGCATATAGAGTGTGGACAGCCAACATCTGACAGCATTCCATGAAATGTTCCCATTTCTAATAGTCAGCAGTCAACAGGAAGGAAAGTATGATGATCCGGAATTCTGAAATTAGGGTATTTTCTTTGTATTTTCTAACAAAAGTCTGTTGTACTCTTCTAACACAAAATGCATATGTGCTAACTGAATGTATGAATAGTCACTTTCCATGCTGGATCAGTATGTAACGTGCTTTCCCAGCTTAGACTGCTTCAGAATGGCTCAAAATGTGACATGTATTAGTCTTTATATGTCCACATTACAGTTATACATATTCAGAGTAAGACTGCCAGGTAGTTTTAACACAAAGTCTGGCGTGAAATGGATCTCTACAATTACCATGTGACACAAAATTATCTCAGAATGTGTTTTTCAGAATATGACAGCAGGAGCTGATATTTTTTAATTGTGATAACTCTTATGGAAAGCCCTCAGGGTACATTTTCATATGTACTTTCTCACTTATTCTGATGTCCAGAACCATCCTCAAAAGTATACCATGTAATAATGAGACATCCTACACATGCACACATGCACATACTCTCATACATAAAAGCTTGTAGTGATGAACAAGTTGTCCCCCCGCCAATCATATCTATATTAAAACAATGATTCACATTTGTTCAAGAACAGGCCATTGGAATATGTGAAATCAGAGATTAAAGAAACGAGAATGAAGAAAGTAATGTAACAATGAGTTTCACAATCTGTAATCTTCAGTCAGGTAATGTCTGCATGATTAAGCCAAGAAGTGTGAAATGAGTGGCACAAGTATCAAGCACAGGTAAACAATTTATGTAAACAATATCTTACTGGAAAATGTCCCATTTGAGACATGTAGGTACAGACAGGAGAACACTTCATAACGTATCTTAGAAGCATAGGTTGTGAATATGTGAAATGGAGATAATTTTATCATGACAGTAGTTTTTATGTCATGTGTCCATGGTTCCGTAACTAGTAACGGGCTCTGGATGGGATAATTGATTTATTGACCCTTCTTGACAATTACAATTACAATTATAACAGGTTACAATCGATTACTGCCTAAGACACCATTTCTTACTGGGCTATGAGTGTCTTCTCTTTTACTGTGACCGACTTGATTCTGATTTAGAAATCGGTCACTTCTTCGGCTTCCATTGTCCACTGGTTAACACTCCACAGCTAAACACCAAACTCTCTTATGAATGCCAAATGATTGAACTCTCCCTCCTTAAGGCTCTTTGTCCCAAATAGCCTACCAGTGTATCACCGTTCCTTCTTTTCTGAGGGTTCTGCTCATGACATCTTCTTGTGGCTTGGGTTTTTTATCTGCAGTGGCTACCCTCCAACTGCTCTCACTACTCCCTCCTCAAGGACACTTGTCCCAAGTGGCTCCCTGGTAAGGTTCCCATCAATCCAGGTGCATCACTATTATCAACAATTTTTCTTTTCCAACGGTGGGAGCAACCATCCTGAGTGGCCAGCGCTCCCACAGTTCCAGCTCCTACTTCATGCGCGATCTCTTTTTCCATTTTGGAGGAGGTCAGACCCCTCCACAATGTCCAATTTTTTTATCTTTTGTAACCCACTGGGCATCCCAGCTGCTCATATCATGAACTCCAGTCCTAGGGTCTCCCTGAGGGTCTTGTTCAATTCCTTCTTGCTTTGTACCTGCTGTCTCAGGCATCTGTTCCTTATCCCATTTTTGCATTCCAGTTTCGGCTGATGCCTCCTTCCGAACATCGGTCTTTTTGAAGTTCTCAGTATAACATCATCCTTGCTTTTTCCCTGAAGCGTGTGTCCCTTGCGCCATGCCACTCTTGCATCGAGGGTCATCATTCAGCTGGCAGCGACCAATTTCTTCCAGAATCCACAGTTTTCCCGGGCCCCTTCCTCTGGATGACTGCGGCACCCTGAGGCTAGATGCTGTCCCCATTTCGCTTCCTCAGTCCTCCAACAGGTTTCACTGCAGCCTCTTCCTTAGGGACCTCTTCATGCACTGCCCCTGACTCTTTCTCTTCTGAGTTTGCCTCCAAATCCATGGCATTCCTTGCTTCTCAGTCGGCCTTCGTCTCTTTTGGCCAGGGCCTCTGTTCAGCCATTACCTTCTTATTGTTGGCGTTCAATTTGGCCAGCATTTCTTCTTGGTTGACTTTTCTTTCAGCCTAAATTCTGGCTTCCATCTTCTTTTGATGTATGTCCATGCATGAGACAAGAGTGTCTCAAAAGAACCTGGAACTTCTCATTATGGTCAATCCTTACATTTCATAACAATAGGAAGTTTCTTGATCAACTGATGAACTACTGACTGTGGAAGGGAGTCCTGCATCATGGGGGTAGATTATGGCTCTATTTCCAATAGTGTGCAGATGTCTCAACCAATAGTTTGGTAGTGGTGCAAAAATACAAAAATCTTCCCCCAGATTCCAATCAGGCAATCGTACTATATTTCTTTGATGCGCATAATGGAATTTCACATGCAACAGACAAGTTATACAAACTTTACTCTGAATTCAGATGGGGAAGCAGCTTATAGCAGAAAAATATTTTACTTTATCTTTCATTATTGATATATGTGCAATACTGTGAATATAAAGATCCCTCATTCTACATTTGCAGCACATCGTTTTTGCGCTCACAGGAATAATGGCATATGCAATACCTGATGTACCTGCTGAAGTACGAACTCAAATACAGCGAGAGAAATTACTGGAAAAGGAAGCAAAATATGAGCATGGGACACAGGGGAACATTAGTGCTAACTATGGTGAGATACTGCTTGCTCAGAGGGAGCGAAGCTTAATGGCTGCGGCTGGGGCTGCACGGAGTTGGTGGGGACGAAGACTCAGTCGTGTGTCAGACAGTTTTGATGTTCAAGAAACGACCTCAAGACAGCACAAGGTTAATAATAGTAACTCTACAGTATGGGAAGTGACAAGGTAGTGATAATCATAAATGTGCATTTGCTTCAAAGAATCTTAGATGGTGCTAATGTTGTAAGTTATAAACTGAAAAATATTCTTTACCACCCTCAATCATAGGAACAGGTTTGAAAATAAGTAGAAAGTGACTTTACATGCTCAATATGTGTGTATGAGACTAGCAGAACAAGCAAATTATGTAGGCTTTCAAAAACCAGTACACTACATTTGGCATAACATGGAACACAGATTTTAAAGCAGTTAATAGTTTTTGACTAGCTACAACAATCCCAAGGCTAAGAGTCTAATTATCTTTTCCCACCTCCCTTTGCAGTTGATTACTGGTAATTCTGTAGCAACAAACTCTCTGGTAACAGAACCAAATGGTTTAACAACATTAATACATGTCTGCAGTAGGAGATACAGTATAATGGAAAAGGTAAAGCTATCCCTGTAACAGGCTGTGAAGGTCCATTGGGTTGTGAGACGTCGAGGCTCCCACATTTTCTCTAGACCATCAGCACACAGATGGCGGTAAGGTTGTCAGTCTTATGCGCTGGCTGCCCTTTACCCCCAGGAAGATTCATGGTATTCATTTCTGCCAGAGGGTGAGTCAACCCCAGGGCCATGGTGCGGTTGGAAGAATTACGTAAAAATTGAAAAGGTCCACCTCATCAGGACTTGAACCCTCGACCTTCTGGCTTGTAGCATAGTGCCTCAACCAACTACTCTACCAAGTCCCCCAAAGTATAAAGGAGAAGTTCTCTTTTGCTTAAAACAGTGATACCAAAACTTTGGCTTATGAGTCCGTCTAAGAAATGCATCAGAGACAGTCCACCAGAGAGAATAAATTATGATGTACTTTAATGTGCACAATTATTTTAAGGAAAATTCACAAGAAAAACAACAATATGGATGGCGGTGGTCTATTTATTGGTTCAAAAACAATATCAGTTTTGTATAACCAGTTCCGATGTCACAGGCGAGTTGTACAGTTACTCTAACTTCCTTTCCATTCAAGAGACAAGTTTTGTGTATGATAATGTAGAGGTTTAGCTGCACAGAAATGGGTCAAATCATGTATGTTGAAAAGAAAGCGATATCTAAGGAAAAAATTCCCAGACTATATCAGATGGGAATTAAAATAATCTCACCTTCAAGGAAAAGTTTCATGGAGTAATTATGTTTGAGAATCTTACAGTTCAGCTTTCAATACCATTAACTACTGCAGTAAACTGGCCTTGTATAGGAGTACAATGGCAAGTATACAAGGTGTTTCACAACTTTAGGGCATAACTGCAGGAGGTGATTTCCTAGGTCTTTGTGATCAAACATAATTTAGCAAGTATAAATTACATTTTTTATGTTCACACAACACATATAAGCTGTTACAAATTCATTTCCTGTGGGCACATGTTTCAACATGTCATCATATGGCTCTTTGTATAGAGTGTAAATGAAAGCTGCAGACAAATTTTGGGCATGAGTTCCACATACCAAAACAAGAAAAAATGTCCATATCAACATGTGCCCGGAAACATTTAATTTGTGAGTTACAGCTGAAACAGTGCTGTCATTATGTATTCAATTGTTGTTGATGGTTTCGTAGGCCCACATGGTTTGCCACACTGGCTTACAGGCAACCACTACTGAGGTTTTCTCTTAAATGATCTGCCAAAGCTACTGGAAGATGTACCGTTGGCAGTCAGAGCACAAATGCAGTACATGCATGATGATACTCCTGTGTGTTTTAGCAATGCTGTGCGAAATATTCTCAATAACACCTATCAAGACCAATGGACAGGTAAAGGAGCACCCACTGCATGGCCTCTATGCTCACCAGCTCTGAATCCTCTGGATTTTTACCTGTGGTGACACCTAAAATCTCCTGTGTATGCAGCTCTGTTGACAATGAAGAGGTACTTCACTATTACATTGTGGATGCCTGTCAGACTATCCGCAATCATAAAGGTACCCTTGAACGGATGCGGCAGTCCATAATGAGACATGTCAAGGCACGCACTAAATGTCATGGAGGACATTTTGAGCACTTAGTTTCATTGTACTCTTTCATCTATAATTCATAAATTAAATGTTTCCAGACACATGTTGATTTGGACATTTTTTCTTGTTTTGGTATGTGAAATTTGTGCCAAAGTTTGTCAGCAACTTTCAGTTACACGCTGTATATGTATTTCCCATGATTTGTTAATGCTCAATTGCATATAAATAAAAAAAAATCGCATTACAATTTAAATGTTTGGTATTGAAACAATTTCTGTTAGCAGAAACTTAAAATATAATTAGAGATACTCAAATAAATGGCATGATGATGGCATTTTACATCAAAATATGTGACAAAATGAAAATGTAACAGAGTTTCTTTGATGCCAGTTGGACAGAAATAAGGTATTTTATACTTGCCACATACAATGCAATGGTATGCTTCATCATAAAATAGTATCTACAAATAAACTTTTCAACTCCCTCATAATGAAGGATCAACATTTACTATGAGACCACTGCACCTTTACTGATCCATGTACACAAGAAAGAAGTTTAGAGATATTTGTATCCCAAAATGCTGCACCCAAATATCTGTACTCAATAAAAGGATGCTACCATGCCTTTATCTACAAATTGCATAGACATGGTTCTCTGCAGCATGTATAAGAATTTATTCTCATGTGAAAACCCTTACCTATGATTACTGAGTGAATAATTATTACCTAAAATCACATTTGATCATTAAACAACGCTTGAGACAATTTTCTATCAAAGTCACTCAACCATCAAATGCATACAACAAAGAAATAGGAACTCAGACATAAGTGAAATAAGATTTCCAAATGTTTTCATTCCAAACATGGCAAAAGAAACACAAACATGAATCACTATACTGTAAATTTCTTTAATTCCATTAAGAGCTACACTCAGATTTTAGTGTTACTGTTATATTTGCCATCAGGAAGTAGTACAGAAACCAACAGCAGTTTAAAAAATGATCAGACACAAAGGACTGAAGTAAAAATTCAGGAAGCTGGTGAACTTTCAAACACACAATAATTAAGGTATAAAGAATCAAGAGCCAAATGGGAACAAGCAGAACATGTTTTCTGAGGTTTCCACTGAAAAAAAAAAAAATATGTCTGTGGGAAGTCAGTTATCTTTCACCACTAACCTGAGGTACATATCTATCAGTATTTCCATCAGACTGTTTCAAGAATAGTCTACTACATTTTACTATTCATTTAAGCGCTTACTCAGCATGCAAAAGGCCAATTAAAAATTAAGCATGAGCAAAGAGACAAACAAAAAAACTACATACACACAAACAAAAGACAAAAGAAGGAAACTGTATTGTTTTGTTTGTTTATTTGGTCATGGACCCAAATATCAACAGACAATAAATGGAAGATGAAATAAGACATTTTACAGAATGCCTTTCAAAACCTATAAGGAAAAACTCTCAGAACCCTGGCTGAGAAAGCCCAATTTAAATACCATTGCAGGTATGTTCACTTTGGTCATGCCATAACAAATGCATGCCTAAAAGTGCAATTATCAGTAACTGAAACTGTGACATATTATCAGTCTGTGAAACCATCCTGGTGGCAAATATTTATGTGTTTATAATGACTCCTTCTCCTCCTAGTTTTTGTTATTACTTGTCTCCGTTTTTTGTGACTATCATGTATATATATGTTCATATTCATGTTATTTATACAAAAGATATTTTCATACCAGAAAATAATAATGTGCATATATGTATTTCTAATCACAGACCAGATTACAGTGCAAAATAAAATACATTTTCAATTTATTTATTTCTATAGGTGACCTATATCTGACAAAACAACTTCGATCTGACTCTAACAAAGTTCAGGTTTCAGACTATAATATGCAGACATCTGAATTTCTGTACTTACTGCTGAACAGTTTCATTGATTTAAATGGAATGTTGTTTTACAAGCACTTTGTTGCAGAGAAATCAGCTTTCCTTCAATAATATCATAACCATTTAGCAAATAACATGTTCCTTAACCCACACTGGAAATTTTTCTGATGGTTCCCTTCCTCAGGCAAGTAAAAATTCCACACTGACACCTAAAATTCTAACTGCATACAATAGAATTCATCAATAAAATTTATCAAATCCATAATTTTCCAAATTAGATGTGTGACAAGATTCATAGATATGTTGGAAATACACCTAAGATATCTGTAGTACCTCTACTGTGTGAAAGGGCCACAGACACAGGAAGATAAGAAGATATTTTGTACATGCAGAGTGGGGTGTGAAGATGTGGTGGTTTTCTATAGGCTACTCTGAGAGACCAAACAAGTGAACCATTTTAAGGAATAATTAGAATGATGATTGCAGTTTAGTATCCATGCCTTACACATTCCAGATGACCTCCATGACATTAGATACATTACCATAATCACTGTCTGAATTACTGCAATAAAGCACCACTAATTGTTCCAATTGCCTCAGAAATGCAGTCCTTCAGTTCTTGGATGCAATGGAGGCAAGTAGCATACACTTTAGCCTTAAGATACCCCTAGAGGGGAAAGTTTCTGGTCATCAAGCTCAAGGAATGTTGCAAATCATGAAATTAGGCAGCCTGGAAACATTCCTCTAGGAAGAATTACGGTTTGCCTTACCATGTGGGCCAGTGCACCATCCTGTTAAGACCATACATTTCTCACTCTTTACCTCATCCTTCACAGATCAATAGCCAAAAATGTTTTCAGCGTAGTGCAATAGCACTCAGAAGCCATGGTAATGGCCTTGTTTTCCTCAAAGAAATAAGACCCAATCATACAAAATGTGGAAACAGAACACCAAAAAGTTACCTTCTGACTATGGAGGGGTTTCTCATGAAATATGAGTAGGATTGTTATGGCTCCAATACCTAAAATTCTGTTTAAGTAACCAGTCAAGTAGAAGTGAGCCTCATCCAACATTATTAAAACATCCAAATACCCTTCATCATTAACAATGAGATCCAAGAATTGTCCACAGAAATACAAATAACAAGCTATAAAGCTATATCCTGTTCTTTCAGTTGTGGGTCACATAAAACAAAGGTTCAACCATGATAAATAAACTGTAATCATTGTTTGAGTCTAAATATCCCAGTTATTAAACAAAAATATATGAATCTTTCCTCAAAGCAACAACTACTAATACAGTAACCTAAAAGAGAAAAGAAGATTAACTAATTCAATGGAGCACAGTCCTTCTTACGTAGCTAATATTCACCCAGCTGGTCAAGAAATTCCCAACCTTTTATGAAACATAAAGGTCCATTAATGTATTTACAAGGACTCACCACAGATCCCCATCCTGAATCACATGAATTGAGTCCAAATATTATCATCCCACAATATGCCTTGGTCTCCCAAGGGGTCTCTTCCATTCATGTTTTCTGAACAAAATTTTGTATACCTTCCGTATCTCTTCCACGCATGCCACATGTCTCATGCCTCACCCAT